CAAAACTATATATAGCAATACTTCGTGTATTGTGAATTCGATCAATACGGATTCACTACAGTCCGGTTTGAATATTAGAAAACAAACGATTTTATTTTAATTGGGCAAAATAACAAATCAGTACACACAATTTGTTTTTTGTACAAAAATGATCAAAAAAACGATATAGTCAAGTTTATTTTGTATTATTTATTTTTAAGCGGTTTTAAAGGATCTTATTACCCGCACTATTCGAGGTATATTACGTGTCAATAACCCTTTATGAAAGTAGTTAATAAATAGAATTATTAATACATATTATTTATTTTATTTTTTTGTGTATTTTTGCTTTTTATGACTATTGCAATAAAATTTATTATTGTTATATATGTATATTTCCTTACGCTTAAAAAATACTCCTTTGATTTAATTAAAATGGAAACGTACATCAAACATGTTTATGAAATGTAATTTATGAATGTCACGTAGTGTACTTCTAACGGTTAGTGTTTGAAAGTTTATGTAAGTTCAAAAACACATACTATTACTCGTGATTTCTAATATAATTACTCCGAAATTGAATCAAGATGTTAATTTGAGTAATTAATACGTTTATGTTAAAAGGTTATTATATGTTTGTAATTAAAAGATTTATACCAAATTTTTTTGCAATACCTTACTACTAGATTTATGCTGTTTAATGTTCACCTAATACCTTACGCTAGATGTGAAACGATAAGATGTGAGGATATTCAATATTCAAAATTTAAAAAAAAGTTGCCTTGATAAAATGTTGATTATATCAAGATAAGTAGTCAAATTTGAAAAATAATTAAAGTCAAATATTTGAAAGGTAACATAAGTTTTTATTATCAAAAGAACACATTTGTTAATAACAATTTTATTCAAACTTTTTCTCAATTATTTCTCAGGAGAAGAATATCATTTATCAAAGGCGCTTGTTTCTTTTATCAAAGGTTACTGTATCAAATGTTCACTGCGTTTTATTGCGCATCTTTTAATACAAAAAAAATATTACGTAATATTAATCACTGAATGAGATTAGACACAAAATGTACTCCCTTCTTTTTATTGTCTTTAATCTAGTAAAAACATACTTAGTTTTGCATCTTTTGATGTAAATTTTAATTATTTACCAAGATTTTCCGATATTTCCAATTAATTTTGTTTTTATTTGTAAATTTTCTCATCATAGTTTAATATAAAAAAAATATGTTAAGTAGTATTACGTAATGTTTCATTTAATTAGAACTTACTTATTATATTTTCTATAACTAGATAAAATAATGAAGATGATGTTATTCTAATTCCACGTCTTTTGATATAAAATTTTGTAAGTGATGAAAATTATTTTTCGAGATTTAAAGATTTTTCCAATTATTTTCTATTTTTCGTTTGATTGAAAATGTTACCATAATAAAATTTATCAATTTTAAAAATCACATCGACAAATGTAAGAACGTTTTATATTCTATTGTTTTATATAAAAATGGATTACGTAATTTACGTTAATTAATAATATATCTTTTTTTTATATCTTCACGTTCATTAAATTATCTTCCGATTAAAAAAAACGATCTTTTATTTCGCGATTCATTGAAAGTATTACATTCATAAAATTTGATCATTCTACATATTATCTCCATAACTGATACATATGTTATAATTCATAAAACCTGCTCTTCCATTGGGCATTGTTTGGTATAAAACAATTGTTACGTAATTCTCATTAACGACTGAGATATGGTGATTTGAAAAAATTGAAAAATTGAAATTGAACATACTTTTTTGATAATTATATACAGGCTTTTATTTCGCATCATTTTATATTATATTCTGCAAATAACTAATTATTTACGAAAATTGTCCGTTTTTTATTTGTTTGTTTTATTCATTTTGTTTTAGTTATTTTTCTAATATACAATTCTGGATAATATTAAGCAAGATTTAGCGAATTTTTCCAATAATTTGTGATTTTTTTAATGATTAATTGCAGTTGATTTTCATCGACATTTATTCAATTAGATAGCATTACTTTAGACATTATTTATAAACGTAAATTAAACACGTATATAAAATTTATTTTATTATAATGCTGCATTTCTCACACTTATTATTTTAAATTTATGTAAGTTAAACAACACGAGACATGATTATTAATTAAATTATACAGTAGAACCTGTTTTTGTGCGCTCATTTTTTTTGCGGTTTTATTTTTGTGCGTTTTATTTTATGCGGTATATGAAATCCAACCACTTCCAACGGAGTTGATACCATTGTAATATTTTCTATCAGTGTACAGCCTGCTCTAACGATTCTGTTAGTCGATTTTGAATCAATTCATATCAAAGAGATGCGCGTTTTGTATTATCACGAGTAGCAGTAAATTTTTTTAAATTTCTCCATATGTAATGAGAAATTAAATGTTTTTAAAATGTTTCCATGTGTAATTTAATTATTTATTTTGTTTGGATTCACTTTTTTGTGCGGTCCCTATCCACCATTTCTGTAATGTATTGAACAAAGTTATTTGTTATATGTAAGAATTTGTGAAAATTTCGAATATATTTTTTTGTGCGATTTTTTTTATGCGGTCCCTATCTGCCGCACAAAAACAGGTCCCTATGCACCGCATAAAAAAGTTACTGTAATGTATTGAACAAATTTATTTGTTAAATGTAAGAATTTATGAAAATTTCGAATATTCTTTTTGTGTGATTTTTTTATGCGGTCCCTATCTGCCGCACAAAAACAGAGTTTTACTTTAATAATAATTACTAAAATGATATGTAAATAGGGACAAGATGAATGTGACATGTAAAATCAATGTGTGAATCAGGCATAGCAACTAATATTGGTTATTCTATTGAATAATTTGATAAAACTAAAAGTGAACAACCAATAAGCAAGAAGATGTTATACTACATCAACACTTTGCGTGATACGAGACATAATTTGTTACTACTGAAATTGAACTGTCAACTACAATAGCGCAATGTATTAAATTGTGCACGTAATAGTGGTATATCTAACATACATTTAAGTCTCATATGACACACAGTGTGGATGTAGCTTAATAAATTTTAATAAAACGAATTTATATTTCACATTTTAGATGGAAATCTTCTAAGAAAACCATTTATAACTGAAATCAAACCTGAAAACATATTTTCAAGCATGCATATATTTTACATTTGAAATAAACATGGATGTTCTCAAAATGAACGCATTTGTTACTTGTTGTTAGTATCTTACTGAATTACATAGACAATGGTGGATTAAATGACAGAGAGTTAATTAAGTCTACTTTGAAATTCCGACCGGGCCGAGACTTTGAGGAACTATTAGGGATGTAGCGCATTTAGCATACCAATTCGGGTAGGAGGGATTTGGCGCGTTTAGTTTACCTCTAATTGCATGCATCAAAGACCTCCGAGCACAAAGCAATGAATCATGCTTGCGAAAACAAACGTCCACGACGAAGGTTTCACTGTAGCGTAATTCTATATTTTAGCAACTTCTTAGCGGAGTCCGTGAAATGGAAATTGGACTTCGCATTGAATTAAAAGACGTGTTCTGGCTTGAATGTATAACTGAGAAAATTACTTTAATGAATTGAAGATCGGAGCAGGAAAGCGCTAATTTTATTTTCGCTTTGAAGATGTACAAGTGAAAGAACGAAATCCTTTTCAATGTTTACTATGTAGATTCTATACAGAAGCGGCAGTCAAGTGTTTTCATAATTTTCTACTTTGCTAATAACAATCCATGCACAACCTACTCATTTTTATTAAGAAAAATAATTTGATCCATATAATAATTACTTAACTTCATCATTTTAAGGAATAAAAAAAAAGAAAATATACCTAGTTTGTAATTAAATATTTATCAAGTATCTTTTGATATAAATTTCTTTAACTTTAACAAGATTTTTCAATATCTTTATTAATTTTACTGACTGATACGAGAAAAATTTACAACAATATTCATAAACAATAAAACTTAGACAAAAAGTATGTATATAATTTATGAATATGATAAATTTTACTTATATAAGAGTTTACATTTTCTTCGAAATTTTCTATTTTTATTAACGTAACTCTTAAATTAATTTTCCCGACAACAGATTCAATCTAATTAAAATATATTTAATGGATTTATTGATAATTAATTCAAATTATTTATTCCGTTTCTTTTGACATAAATTTCTGTAAAAATATACTAATTATTTTCGCAATTTTTACAATAAATTCATGACAATCTTTGTGTTTTATAAATGGACACAATAAATGTGATTTTTTTTATATAAAATATATTACATATATTTATATAGCAGCGTTTCTCAACCTTTTTGCCGCTGGCCCTTAATACTCGCTTGTAGTTGTACTATGGCCTAATTATTTATAATATAAAATTACTGACATAAAATAACAGGTGTCATTTTGAGAGGCATTCATAAGTTGATCTATAAGTTGAAAAACACTTTGTTTGAATAGTTGATACGCAATAACAATTAATGACAGAAAATTTTCACATTTATATTCATGTCTACTCCTTTTACCATAAATATGCAAATTTAAGATAAAACATAAAATTGTTGTCCCTTTGATGAAAGATGACAGCTGTCATTTTGTGACCTACTAACAAATTAACGCGAACCATAGGTTTAGAAACGCTGTTCTATAACACATATTCGTTTTAACACGTAAGGAGAGGAGATGTAAAGAAATTTTACATATTTTCTCCTTATATTTAATTACACGATAATTTTGTATTTGCGTGCATTATTATAATTAAAAGATATTATATAAAAATGAAGGTTTTGCATTTATTTGTTATTTTTAGTAATAAAGCAACAGACCTTAATTAATTACAATTTTAAAGTTTGTCATTTATTAGACTTAGTGAAGCGCGAATACACGTTGACAAAAGGGACATTTAATTACGTTTCCTGTAGGCGAATGAGCGGAAGGCAAAGTTTTAATTGAACATTTTTTTACCTGCGAATTGATGGCACTCAGGTGTATCTGCGCCACCCTCAAGTCGAACCTCTTCATGGAGATGTCCTCTTGAATTTCATTGGCCTTATTGAAAAGACTGGCTTCGAGAGATCTCTGCTGAAGGCGTACCGTCGTATCGAGGGCGTCCTGAATCTGTCTGATCTGGGCATCCAGCTCGATCGCCTGTTTCCTCAGAGCATCATGGGATGGCTTCACCTGTACAGCTGATAGACGATCTATAACCAGCTCATCCTTCAACGGAGGCGGAATATTTTCCTGGAAATGAAAAAAATATTAACAGACGCATGCCTTCGAAGGGATTTCAGGCATATCCTCACGTTTATTGGCATCGAAGGACCATCCTCTTCGGTCTCCGGTGGTGGCGGCGGTTGCGGTGGAACGAAGAGTCGCTTCATTATGGGCGCTCTTCCCTGCGGCGCGGGCCACGATCTCGCCAGATGGGCCAGGTCTGAGGTGCCGTTGACGTTGCGACACTGTGATACGAGACCCTCGTATCTTCTGCATTGTTCCATCGCCTGCAAACATTTCGTAATTAGCTCCTGTCCTGTCCGGAGGACCCCAATTGCCTGCCCAATTAGGTTTCTCCCCCTTTTTCTTTCTTTCTCTCCCTTCATTTCTCGCTTTTTCAGCGAAACTCAAATTAAGTTTGTAGCAATTTCCGGACACCCAACAAAAACAATATAGCTTGATGACATCAGCAGAACAACAACAACCAAAGTTTATATTAAGAGTACCGGGTTTTAAAAACCGACATACTCTAATATATACTGTTATCTAAATTATTTGGTATGTCTTTACGAATTCGCATGCACGGTTCCACAAAAAACCATTACACAATAACTCGGTTTCCGAACAAAATTTCAGATCTCGTATAGAATTTTAAGTATTTAGGTACAGTATGACCTCGTTTAGCACTTAGGATGTTAAACGAAGTCAAATTAATATATAGTAAATAAGTAATTTTAACATATTAATAAATTGGTAATTTTAGATCTTTTACGTTAATCTAGGTCTTACTGTATCCATGTCACTCTGAGTTACTTTATATACGAGATAAAGTAAAATTAATTTGTTATGTTGTTAAATAATTGTTATTAATATTTGGCTTAAAATGTTGCGTGTTTTAATTGTTTTTGTATATGTGAATTATTGATTTTTATAGAGCTTTAGATAAGTAATCATGTGTGATTCGATGATACATTAATTCTTTTGGGTCAGTAATAATTGTTATTTTAACAATTCTATGTTGGAAAAACTTATAGAAACTTGGTTCCACTTTATATTGATTTTCTTTTTATGTCCATGAGAGTAATAAAGGAAATTACGTTTAATAATTCATAAATTCCATTATTATTTACTAAAGTAATTAAGATGAATCCTTCCAAAATATTGGAATGAGAATTGGATATTAATATTGCTTTTAATACAATCAGAACTAAATTATTCCATAAAGGATTATGATGAAAAGCAGGCTTAATTAAAAAAAACTCCGTCGCAGCCAGACGTTCAGCATTCTATTCTTCACATTTCTTCGTCTGAATCAACCATTTCCTTCCTACTTTAATCGAGAACGTCGAGGCCGAGGCTTAAAATGCAAGCGACGGGAATTAAAACTGCGGCCGAGAATTTAATTAGTGAACTATCGGATGATTAGTGTGACGTGGACTCTCACGAGCATCGATCTAGAAATGTCTGTGTCCTGCCATTCCAATATTTCCGGTTTCAATATAATAATACCGCACAACTGGTCATTATGCTTCGCTCAAAGGCGAAGCGCAAAAAAATCCTTTGCTACACAGGAAACCTCCGCCAACAGCCAATTACCAAAGTTGACATGTTTCAAATGCAGGTAAATCTGTAACATAATGACATGTCATTTAACTGTACGTTAAAATGACACAAAATAGATCAAATATCGATTTGTATTTCATGCAAATACGATAAATTTATTATAACGATACGTCTAATAACTACAATCGAGGTAACGCGATTACAATCCTTATTTAACATAAAAATAATCCAAATTAAGGAAAACTCCAATAATTTTACAATTTCTAGTAATCGAATAATTTTAATACAAATTTTCTCTGATCAAAATAAGGTTTTCATTTTCTTTACGAATAAATGTATTTCGTATCTATATCTATAGTATTTTTACCCCTAAAAACGAAGTTTTGATTAAAGAAGTTGTTAATCGAGGTATGACTGTATATGAAATCATTTTATTTAGAGGTTACAAAAAAAATGCATATAATTTCAGTATTTAAAAAAGTAATACATCTATTTCAGAATATAACTTATTATATTTGTAAGAATTCGTTCAATACTGTTTGTTGTTAATTGTTAACATATTTTGTAAATAGAATATTTTAATAAATAAAAAAAATGTTGTATGCAAAGAAAAATCAGATTTTAACATTATATATTGATATCTCGCATATTGCAGTTAATTGTTGCCGCCAATAACCAGGACTAAATAAGTGGAAAAAAATAAACAGTACACCAAAGACTTCACTGTACAAAGAAAAGTTTTTCTATACAAAATATTTGCTTGCGTTAGTTTTTTAAGAATAAATTTTTATTTTGCTGAATTCAAAACTATTTAGTTTCAAAATTTTCCAATCGGATAGATTAAAGTCGAAATCTTGACAACCGAAATCTCAACAATAAAAATTCCGACATTCGAAATCCCGACAGTATCTTTTATTATTTGATAATAAGAAATAATCTAAAATACAATTACATAATTAATTATTGTACTATTCTTGATATTGTATTTGTTTTCGTTGACTTATCTATAATAAAACTTAAAATTAAGAAATATTCTAATCAAAGGGATTTCGATATAGACTCATATTATGCATGGATAATCTGTTAACGTACACATATTTGGATAACCAGCACCTTAACGACCGTTTAACATACCTTTTGGGAACTAGCAACAGTGTTTATACCAAGATTAAGCAGATTCTTAGATTAAGTGTCATTTGATAATGAGCCCGATATTAAGCCCAAATCGATGATCGAATATCCGTTAACCGTTCGCCCAGTTTATTATAACTTTACATTTATATTACACATTTTAAATTGTTTTTTCATCATTTTACAAGTATTAAATTGATGTAATAATTTAATAATAAGCACGAGATGTAACTTCCTCTATACGTTGAACTAGTTTTTAAGAAAAATATTAATCAATATACATTTTTAGCATGTGAAAATATTTATCTTCCTACGTATATAATATTTCTAGGAGGAAATGCATCTCATAGAAGAGCTGCAGGAAATTGAAGTGTTTTCTGTAAACTTGACACTAAATAATTTGGTTCACGTCTGAGGAGGAAGCGGTACGATCTATATATATTATTTCTTAATTTCCCGTGAATCAATAAACGCGAGACACGCACGGTAATTTCCCCTACATAATATTTCAAAGGATAAATCTACTTAGAATTCGTTTTTCCTTTTTCAGTACGTAATAAGAATTTGACGTGATGCAATATTAAATATTCATCATTCTTGCGTTTAGTACTATGAGAAAAAATACGTACAGGAAATTTGCGTAAAGAAAAAAATATGTTATAAATATAAAAATTTCATTAATTTAAACTTAAAACTCAACATAAAATTGTTGTTAATTGTAAAGTGTGACAAAAAAAACTGCAAGTTTTAAAAAGAAAGTCTATAAAACATATATCTGGCATAGTGCGGTTAATATCGCCAATATTCCGCACTGTTTGAAACTGGACTAAGATACAAGAAATAAACCGCACAAAAAGTAAGTAAGTAATTAAATGATGCTTATTATGAGATATTCAGATCCACGTAGAAAGAGAATGCATGGATCGAGGAAAGGATATATTGAGAATTGAAAACCTGGGCAGTTTTCACCAAGCAAATGCAATATATTAGCACTATACTTAACAGGTATGGAGAAATGATTTCCATGCAAAGTATTGCAGTATACCCGATTTGAGTTTGTCGGTTTGGAACATCAGTGTTGGATTGAGCACCACAAAAGTTACTTTAAATATTCTATACACTAACTATTAATTATATAAAAATATTAGTGGAAAATAATTTTGAAAAATTGTAAAATATTTCTCGCTATGAAAAATAAACTATTTAGTTAGGCTTTACATTTCAAACACGTTTCATTCAGTGCTAAGGTGTAGAAAGTGAAAGTTTTATGTTTAAAATCGCCATAGAAATACTTTTACAGCAGCAACGGCTAATCCTTCGAAGAGTTTCTCTTTTCAAAAATTATTGGAATTATCATATTTTTTCTTGTACCGAGGCAGGTATACATTTGAAAATATATAAATTGCCAATATCTCCATCAGTTCCATCAGTTGTTTACTTGTCTGTATACAGTCGACATCATGGTTCCGTTGTTTAGAATGAAGTTGGATTCCGTTGGATTCAACATTATACTAAGCAAAATGAAAATAGATTCGCAAATTGCTGTAAGAGATGAAGAAGTTCTCGAAAGATTAATTTTCAAAAGGTTTAAACATAAAATTGAGGAAATACCAGAGACATCTGCTTATTATGAGATATTGGGATCTACGGAGAAAGAGAATGCATGGATTGAGGAAAGGATAAATCGAGAATTGAAAGCCTGGACAGTTTTCACCGAGCAAATGCAAAATATTACTACTATACTTAACAAGTATGGAGAATTGATTTCCATGCAAAGTATTGAGTATACACGGTTTCAGTTAGTCGGTTTGGAACATCAGATGCTAGCACTTAAGAATATGGCAGAATCACTAAGGGATCTAGCAGAATTTAGCAATGATGATCTCTGTAAGTTGGTGTCTAGTAATGAACTAAGTAAATTGAGCTTTTTTCATGATGATCTGTATAATACCTTCAGGAGCAAGTTCCAAAAGCTAATGAAGTATACTTTCTATTTTTTGAACAAAATCAAGAACATTTTTGATCATCCTATATAAAGTGTTTCCCAATTATTTTTGTACATAGATCATATTGAACTGCAATATTATGTATTAATTAAGGTTTTATTTATGAATTTTTTTTTATTTGTATTTACTTTACTTTTTAATTACTAATCGTATATAATGTATAAATAAATATTTATAAATTAATGCTGTACTATTATGTTTTATTTGTATTAAAAAATATAAAGATTTAAATACTCTTATATCACATTACAAAAAAAAATTCAAAAGTATCGGATAATTTCGTAAAATCTCGGGAAATTGTATTTCAATATTAAATAAAATTTTCAGATATTGTTTCTTCTACAATACTAAACATTTTAAATAAACTATACACTCTACATCTTGAATAATAATCAAATAAAGTTTGATAAACTTACATAAATTATTGGGAATGTGTATCATTTCATTTTTATTTACACAAAGTTCCAATATTTATATATTTTGTCGGGATTTATTTGTTTCATTGGTTTATGGGATGAAATTATTGCATTTGTTAAAGTAATAAACTAGTTTAATAAATCACTAAGTTCCCATTTTGTATCATCAAAAAATACTGGTTAAAGTCCTTT